GTCGATTGGTGGGGGCGGTGACATCCACGACGGCCTGGAGAGAGAGAAACGACGGCGGCGGCGGCGGTGATTCTGACCACCACGGACGGTGGCGCTCCGGCCAAAATCGAGCTGTGAAAATGGATGGCTTTTCTTCGTCTCGCTGTACTGAGTCCATAGGGACTGAAATCATCTCAATCGGAGGTCGGATGGCGGAGATATCACGACGGGAAGAAATGGAAATTTCGAAACTTCCGCCGGCGATTGCGGCTGATTCCGGCGGAGTTGGAGGTCGTGCCGCATGTCGTTGAACTCAGCTCGTCGAGATCTTTCTATTGACACCGGCGGTGTCAAAAACAGAGGTTGGAATCTGAACTTGGGTATTTGGCCATTGATGGTTTTTTTTTTGTGAGAGAACGTGAGAGGAGAGAGAGAGTGTGAACGGAAGCAAGAGAGAGAAAATGATAGAACCCTAAAAATTTCACTATATAAAGTGTCTGATTAAGGCAAGATTACGTGCCTGATCTTATCCTCAATTATTTCCTCTAAACAGATTAAATTTATACTGATTAGAGGTAATTAGTTTAGCTCACGTAAGTTAATCTACTACTTACAGTCCAATATCAATTTCTGAATAATTCAATATTGTTTTATATTCTTACTCGCGTAATATTTCAAACTGTTTCAAGTCTTAAAATTAATTTTAGACTGAACAACGCATGTCGTTGAACTCAGCTCGTCAAGATCTTTCTATTAACACCGGCGGTGTCAAAAACGGAAGTCGGAATCTCAACTTGAGTATTTGGCCATTAATGGTTTGTGTGAGAGAACGTGAGAAGAGAGAGAGAATGAGCGGGAATAAGGGAAAGAAAGTGTAATAACCCTAAAAATTTCACTATATAAAGTATCTGATTAAGGCAAGATTACGTGCCTGATCTTAGCCTCAATTATTTCCTCTAAACAGATTAAATTTCTACTGATTAGAGGTAATTAGTTTACCTCACGTAAGTTAATCTACTACTTACAGTCCAATATTAATTTCTGAATAATTCAATATTGTTTTATATTCTTACTTGCATAATATTTCAAACTGTTTCAAGTCTTGAAATTAATTTTAGACTGAACAAATTCTAAATTTTACTTTTCTGCATTCTATCCCGGGAATGACGTTGTTTCTGACAGTGTCAACTCCCGAGCTCACATTGTACCCATCTACTATAGGTATTTATCTTGTGACTTTAACCTAACTGTCTAGCAATTAAGGATTTTTTTTTCTTCTTTTAAAATGTCAGTGCGTTTTTTTATACGCCGCTAACATCGTGCTGTGCTTGGAGATTCTTGAAATTAAGATTCTCAAACTATACTTGTACTGAAAATTATTCCGCCTTAAAATACGGCGAGAATTTATCGATCGAATTTACTTAATCGAAACATGAACTTAACATGAAATTTACTATAGAATTTAGGAATACATATATTAATTCCATAAATCCTCCATCCACAATATAACATAATATTTTCTAAGAAAATCCTTGCCTTAAAAATACATGAATTGTATTATTTAAGGTCTGGAATTTTCTCAGTCATTACAATAGGTTTTTTATCCTTCACTTATGGACAAAAAATAATGATAATAGAAAATGGATAAAAATAGTATGATCTTTTTTCTAGTACGCTAACGTACTGGTAGACTAATTTTTTTGATCGTTAGATCCGCATAAAATAGCGTAAAAGTTAAAAAATACGCAGATCTAACAGTTAAAAAGATCTTGTCTACTAATATGTCAAACGTACTAAAAAATCTCTCAAATAGTATATAACTCGATTATATACCTATACTGACGTATCACATGACCGTCACATTTATTTTACATATATTTTTTAATGGATTCCTTAACTTTAAAAGAACAATTTTGTAGAACGGGAAATAATTGTAGGTTATTTTAAATATCAAAGACCAAAAATGAAATTCACCCCCAAGATATACTGAGACGAGAAATAAATTTCAGTTGTTTAAGCGTATTATAGGTCGTAAAGTAATTTTATACTGATGTAATTTTATAAAACAATATATATATATACATATTTATATATATATATATATCATTTCTTCCTCTTATATTTAGCAATAAAAAAATTGATAATCATCTAATGCTTAATTTCCTATCAATCTGAAACAACTTGAAATAAAAACTCACGTTCATCTGTCTAACTTTCATCCCTTCCCTCCTCTCAAACGCAGCTTTAAGAGAAAACGCCACAAAAAGGAAAGCAAAATCGGTTCGTGCACTTTCGCGGAAGTTCACAGCAAGCATTTTCAAATTGTTTCTTATGTTTCCTAAGTTTTATGATTATCATAATATATTATTCGCTCATAAAATTAATCGGGCTCAACTATGCATGTGAATATATATATATATATATATATATATGTATGTATGTATGTATGTATGTATATTATATTACAAGTTGCAGTTATTAAAATGGTTAAAGTACTACAAACCTATTGGTTTTGGTTGATCGGCTACCGACCGATAGGGGAGAGTTGACTGTTAGGAATTTTAGCTGGCAATTTATTGGTAAATTCAAAAAAAAAAACGATTATGTAGAAAAGCAGAGATGATGCAGAAGTGGGAGTTCAAGATATACATGCTGAGATCATTGATGATTGTTCTTCCTTCAAGTACATGCAGAAGTGGCTTAGATCAAAAGATAAAATATGATTGATGATTGTTCTTCCTTCAAGTACATCTATGGCTCTGAAAGGTAAGATCAAACGACAACAATGACAAGCACCACTTCGTCTCTCTCTCTCTCTCTCTCTCTATAGGCAACAGAATATCATAAGAGGGAAAAGAAATAATGGAGGGCGAAATAAACAACTTCTTTAAGGTATGGATTTTAGTCTTGGCATCTCTGTCTTATTGCTATGTCGTTGGAAAAACAGTCTCAAAAGGTACTAAAAGACTCATTTTTGTGATTCCGATTGTGTGCCTTTTTTTAATGCTTCCACTTAAACTCACTTCCGTAAATCTTGGAGTTACTACTTCGTTTTTTATTACATGGCTTGCCAACTTCAAGCTTTTACTCTTTGCTTATGGCAAAGGGCCTCTAGCTCTAGACCCATCATTGTCGTTTGGGCGTTTTCTTGTCATTTCTTGTCTTCCCATTGATATCCGAGAAAACCCATCTCACAAAAGTCCTAAACAAAAACGACAGAAGAAATGGCATCTCAGATTTACCATAAAGCTTTTGGTTCTCGCCATTCTAATTTCTGTCTTTAACTGTAAGGAACATTTACACCCAAAAGTACTATTGGTCCTCTATTGGCCTCTCGTCTACATCTTGGTTGAGACCATCTTAGCCGTGGTCGCAGCCATGGCTGGAGCACACATTTACACCAACTGCATAAGATATGTCAGGTCTAGTTAAAGTTAAGTAGATCAGACTACCCACCAATTGCCGATACATCGCTGCATCTTCCAAATTTCTTCCTTCATGAGCACACATTTTGGTGTTTGGCTCCATTGGAGTCAAAATTGGTTTGCACTCAAGCAATCCAAACTTTTTCAACAAATCTTTGGAATATTTTTGCTGATGGAGAAATATTCCTTCTTAAGTACGATCAACTTCTAGACCCAGAAAGTGCTTGAGCTGACCAAGTTCTTTCATCTGAAAACGAACTGATAAATTATTCTTTGTTCGGTGGATTTCTACTTCACAATCTCCTGTTATGATTAAGTCATCCACATACACTAGCACCATAGCTAGCTTCTCTTCATTATCTTTGACAAACAAACTAGAATCTGCAGGTGTCATCGAATAACCACTATGAGTCAAAAATTCAGCAATCTTACCATACCAAGCCCTCGGTGCTTGCTTTAACCCATAGAGCGCCTTCCGCAGCTTACACACATATTCAGGATGTTCTTTACTCTGAAAACCCATTGGTTGAGTCATGTAGATCTCCCGATCCAACTCTCCATGCAAAAATGCATTCTTCACATCCATCTGCCACAAGGTCCAATCTTTGTTAGCTGCAAGTGCTAGTAAAACTCGCACAGTTGTAAGCTTTGCAACTGGACTAAACGTTTCATCGTAGTCTAGTGCATACTGTTGAGTAAACCCCCGAGCTACCAAACGAGCTTTGTGCCTTTCAATTGATCCGTCTGTGTGACACTTTATTTTATAAACCCATTTGCAAGAAATAGGCTTCACCTCTCTTGGCTTTGGCACGAGCTCCCATGTCTGATTTCGTTCTAATGCAGCAATTTCTTCTTCCATAGCTTTAGCCCACTCCGGATTTTGAAAGGCTTCCACAACAATGAAAGCACCACTTCGTCTCTCTCTCTCTCTCTCTCTCTCTCTCTCTATAGACAACAGAATATCATAAGAGGGAAAAGAAATAATGGAGGGCGAAATAAACAACTTCTTTAAGGTATGGATTTTAGTCTTGGCATCTCTGTCTTATTGCTATGTCGTTGGAAAAACAGTCTCAAAAGGTACTAAAAGACTCATTTTTGTGATTCCGATTGTGTGCCTTTTTTTAATGCTTCCACTTAAACTCACTTCCGTAAATCTTGGAGTTACTACTTCGTTTTTTATTACATGGCTTGCCAACTTCAAGCTTTTACTCTTTGCTTATGGCAAAGGGCCTCTAGCTCTAGACCCATCATTGTCGTTTGGGCGTTTTCTTGTCATTTCTTGTCTTCCCATTGATATCCGAGAAAACCCATCTCACAAAAGTCCTAAACAAAAACGACAGAAGAAATGGCATCTCAGATTTACCATAAAGCTTTTGGTTCTCGCCATTCTAATTTCTGTCTTTAACTGTAAGGAACATTTACACCCAAAAGTACTATTGGTCCTCTATTGGCCTCTCGTCTACATCTTGGTTGAGACCATCTTAGCCGTGGTCGCAGCCATGGCTGGAGCAATGGTGGGACTTGAGCTCGAGCCACATTTCAACGAGCCATACCTCTCAACCTCACTCCTAGACTTTTGGGTCAATAGATGGAACCTCACGGTCAGCCGTATCATGCGCCTTGCAGTATACGAGCCCACGCTCAGCTTATGGGCCCCACTAGTGGGCCTCAAATGGGCCCAAATCCCTGCTGTCGTTGGCAGCTTCCTAGTCGTGGGCCTTGTTCACGAGCTCGTTTACTACTACGTGTGCCGTGTGCCTCCCACGTGGGAGGTCACGTGGTTCTTTGTCCTCCATGGAACGGTTTTGACGGCCGAGATTGGTTTGAAGAAGGCCTTTATAACCGACACGTGGCGGTTGCCAAGGGTAGTCTCGGTGTCGTTGACCCTTGGGTTTGTGACGTTGACCGGCTATTGGCTGTTCTTTCCACAGATTATTAGGTGCAACTTTGATGCTTGGTTGATGCAAGAGTATGCTGCTTTGGGTGAGTTTTTGAGAAATGTGAGTCAAAGATTGATGTTTTTCAGCTAATCGGACGGTTGATGCGCGAATTGATTTTATTTGTAATGCTAATTGTTTTTTGTCCCGTTGTTCAAAAGGTTTCGATGCCTTTGCAACTAAAAAAAAAAAGGAATTAAATGGGTTTTAATGCTTGGTTTTATTAAGGAATCCACGTATTACTCTTTTCGTTGATCACCAACTACTTTACAAAGCTCAATTACAAGCTTTTTAATTCAAAAAACACTTGTGACACGAATGAGAAACCACAGACCACAAAACACATAACACAATTACTACAAGCATAGAATTTTAAAAAGCGACAGATAAGGCAAAACGACAAAACGTGACTACGTGCGCAATTTAAGGGGGAAAAAAGCGACAGAAAAATACAACGGTTTTGAAGGCACAGGGACAAATGACACCATGAGAGAGAGGAATGACAACTAATCACAAAGAAATCAAATGTTAGTAATAAACCCACAAAATGACTAATTATCTTTAGAAATTTAATATTATGTATATCTATATAAAATGTACATGTGTTTCTCCATTCCCGCCCTCCCTCAAAATCTTTGTTAAAATATAAAATTATTGTTAGCCAACTTTTTAATAGCTTAAACTTTTTAGAATAGATTGGTAAACTAATATAATATTAAAGTGAAAGGTCATGAGTTTAAACTCTCGTAATTGCACTTTTATCCCCATTTAAAATTGTCATCATGTTATCGGGCTTAAATATTCACGTGTTGGGCTTTCCAATTAATTTACCCACACGATTGCTCATTGTCTAGTCCACACGTGAGGGGGAGTGTTAAAATATAAAATTATTATTGACCCACCTCCTAATAGCTTAAATTTTTGGGATGAATTGATAAACTAACAATCTTGTCCCCATTCCTG